TGATTAAACCTATAAATCTAAAAAGGAAAGCATATGAAAGAAGATGAAATACAGTACAACTGACTAGCCAGAACATTCAAAGAAAAGCCCGTCGTGGGGTTGCAGCTCAAAGAGGAAGGAATCCAACCTGCAGGCCTGTCCCAGGTACAAATGTGACGCTCAGAATGTGTGCTTGATAGTTTTGAGAAGCCCTGATCTTTAGGGAGCTGCAAACGTAGTTTTCAGGGTAGCATAAAATGCATAAAAAACATATTTTTATTATTATTTTATGCATAAAAAATAAAAAAAAAAAAGACATAAAATAAATAAAAAAAACATCGCTTAGGCTTTATGGCAGCTTTCCGGTATGTGACATGCTCGTTGCAGGGGCCCATGTACTCTGCTTCCAGCCTGCAATAACTAACATTAACATATACAAAGTGCTTACAATGGGCAGGGACTAAAAGGGATCCTTTTTGCCCATAGTTTCCGTTTACTCTCCAGTCACAGGGACATCCTCCCAGGTCCTGAGCAGTTCCAAGAACTGCTGTGTTTGAAGGCTGCTCAGTGCCCCGAAGATCTGAGGTCTCAGTTATTCATTTTTCTTTCGGTTTTTGTACTACTGCAAAGGAATGGGGGGAAAATAACTTAAAATTCATTGAGTTATGGTGCAAATATGAAAATATTCATAAATCATTTTTCTGAATTGACTAGATTGCAGGCTGAGTGCGTCTTTCCATCATGATCGTTGTTGCAAGGAATAAATAAATTGAAACACTCAAAGATGCGTTCAAACGTGTTTTGATTTTTCAGCTACAGAACAGCAGTGCATTAGTAGCTTCTTTTGACAACATGATATATAACTGGCCGTAATTCCGCTGTTCTGTGGTTATATTCTGCAGGAGGTCAAATTGCGTAATTGTGTTAGTCCCTCTAGTTTTCAAATCTATGAACCTACAGAAAAAAGATTATTTTTGCAGGGAAATGTCAATATATTGACAATAATGTTTTTGAGAAGCACTCTCCTACACAGCAAAATGAGGGCATTTTAGGAGAATTTGTTGGACAAGAAAAGTGGTGGGTTTCTGTTTTGCAAATTCTGCTGCTCTTCAGTTAATTTAGCTGTGCCAGGTGTAGCTGCAGTTCTGAACTGTGATGACAAATCAGCTAAAATACCCCTGAAGAACTTGGGTGATGGTAATTTAGGATTCGGTGGTCTGAATTAGGTGATGTGATAGTATCAAAATTATTCTTTCTACTGTTAGAAACTGTTGTCCACTTTTTTAGAGTGTATTCTGGATTCAGTGTGCTTAAACTGGGGCAGAATAAATATTTATTGCATAGGCTAAATGTAATCTATACTAAAGCGAACGTTATTGCTCTTGTGACTGACAGTTCTTCTCAGGCTCCTTTTCTAATGTTTCCACAGCCATTATATTAGAAAGAGAAGAGAGTAAAGTCTCTCAGGGAAAAGACTTACCTTTGGTTTGTCACTGAAGAGAACTCTAACAAAGAAAATGAGATTTGTTGTGCGGTTTTTGTTTCTCTGCTATACCGAGCTTATTTATAAAAAAAAAAAGATATATATATACAGCCTTCATTACTGATGAAAAAGAGTAAACAAAAATTTTTCATAAGCAGAGATGGATCTTAAGCCTGCAGGCTCCTTCCCCAAGCTTGTTCTTTCTTTGGTATGCTAAATCGATGAGAACTAGACTGTAAAATTGTTACCTTGTATTTGATTCTTCCAAATGCTCTTCCTTGTTATTACTTCCAACAACTTACACAAACTACAGAGAATTCAGCAGAATTTTTTTTGGCCCATCTTAGTGATAAAATCACTCTCAAACAGCTCGTGAACGGTGCTAATGGAAACAGAAACTGAGCAGAAACCTTGCAAGTGCAAAAGTTGATGCTGGCAGACGTGGCTGTGCCGTGGGGCTGGGAGCTGGGAGGCATCTAAAGGGAGGGAAAGAAGGAAAGAGTCAGCCCCGCTTGGATCCGGGCACGTGCTGCCCTGGGCACGCTGCTCGCAAAGGGTTTGTCTGCTCCCCAGTAATCCCTAACGGACTGGGACTGCTTCCGCGCGTTTATTCTAGGAGATTTGCCCTTGCTAGTTGCTATGAAGTAGATATAAAAGTAATTTATAACCACAATACGCTAATAGACATTCCAACATTCGTAATGATTCTAAAAAGTGGCGCATATTTTTACGTGTTGTGTTTTGTCTTTCTCGTATTTGTTGTCAAATATTCTTTGTGTTTATCTACTCCAATAAAATTCCAGCTAATGGCCACATCTATTGATAAAACCATTTAAAATTATTCTTTTTTTGGAGTGTATAAAGAAAATGTTGGGGTTTTTTTTCAAAATTGTCTGGTAAATAAATGATGGATCGTTGAGAATCTTCTTCAAGCAACTCAAATCTGATCGTTTGGAGTAAAGATATTGTCCAGTTGCCAAATGAAAAAAGAAAGAAGAAATTGGGTACAAAGTGGGACAAGCACAGGAAAAAGAAATTAAACTTTGAAACAGAGAAGTCGCATGATGTAGCTCTAGCTGCAGTGGGATACTTCTACTTTTCCCCTCCAGATTACTAAATTGGGTATGGGAGAAAGGCTTTCATTATAATAGTTTCTTAGTTTAAATACCTGTACTTCAGTGATTCTTATAGCACACATGGAGTCACAGTTGCCCTATATGTCTGCATGTTTTTAACGTGTAATCATAACTCTATGTAGGTGCATAAAAGGAGAAAGAGTAAGACACTGTTGTAAATCCAGCATACAGTAAGGAAAATTGCATTACTTCGGGGTAAAACTTACTTTTTGCTGTATTGAGTGCTCATGTTTAGATTTCAGGAATATTTTGTAATTTTTTGAGATGGTCTTTTGTCAGTGGAGCAAGTTTTTTGCTTTATTTATTTTCTGTTTACTTGCTGAATGTTACTTTACTGAAAGTCTTTAACTAAAGGCAGGAATCATTTTCTTTCTCTTTTCTCTGAAAACTCAGCCAAATGCTTTTCTGGAAATAATGCCATTGATTCTCTTAGTTTTCTTGTATTGCGAATTCTACTTCTTATTTCTCAGGTTTCTCATGGTCCCAGATATGGGTCACTGGTCTCAGGAACAAACTAATTTTTCCCTCTGCTGAATCCTATATGTACATTGTAACCTTCAGATTTTTAAGAAGTCCCAACAGCAGCAATGACCCTTCCAAGGCTATAGCTGCCTGACAGACCTTCTTATTGAGGTTTGTCATTGCTTTCCTACGAAACATTCTAAGGATTTTCTTTTCAGCAGGCTTATTCCAGTCAGAGAAAGCCTTTTATATGTTCCAGTGCCCTTGCACAAAAGCAACTCTTTACAGATAGTCTTCTGCTGCTGCTGGGTGTAGTCCAGCTCAGAAGGGCCAGGTGACGTCTACAGATGCCCTGGAGTGTTTGTGCCGAACTGCAGGATGTTGTTTCCTTGCACCACCCATTTAACAAAGGTTTATCTAATGTGTGTGTTCAGGTTACCAAGTAACTTTCTGAACTCCGTTTATTTCAAATCTTTTAAAAGTCTCTATCAGATACTTCCTTTTTTTCTTCATGGGGAAGGTAACCCAAGTAGTTTAATCAAATACCTTTGCATTTTCGTGAGTAAATGCTGTTGATGGCTTTTCATAGCTTTGCAGCTTCTCTGTTCATGGTCACCTGTGCAAATGGGCTCTTGAGATGTCTGCATAAATCTTTCAGGATGCAGCCCAACTTCCCTCCTGAACATAGAGTCATCTTGGAATCCCAAGGCCATGATACATGAGGAAAAACTCAGTTTTGATGAAAAAGCACAGCCCCCCTAACCCCTCAATGCCGCCTTTAGCCACCCAGTCGGGCTCTCTGCAGGTTAGATTTGCTTCAGATTGTGCTTAGGTATTTGGGCCTTAGGCTTTCCTTGCCTGGTTCTGATCGTGGGTTTTGTTGCCTTTTCATTCTGCCTTTCCCACTGCACTGAATCTGTGCAGGGATCTTAAGCTCTCTGGAAGAAGGAGTAAGACGGATGAATGCCTGTCTGCTCTCCATGCTGGAGTGTTCCCCTCTAGTCTTTAGCCCACACTGTGCTGGAATCGGATGGAGATTGAGACGCTGTGCTGCCCCTTCCTCTCTCATGGATAATCCCACCTGCTTTCCAAGCGGCCTAGGAGTCTCTTTCAAAGTGTGCCCCAGTACATTAAAATGTCACAGGCATTCCTGAGGGGGAACAGAGAAGTGTTAGGAATGTCGTTTGGGTTGCCTAAACTCAGGGAATTTAAGAAAAAAAAAGTGCTTATTTGCTAATGCACTAAGTGTTTTGTATTGTTTGTTTTTTTCCTTGTTTCTTTTGTCAAACATTATCTGGTTGAAAGACCAAGTCTCTTGATGCTTTACGTAGCAGATTTAGGCTATTATGTATCAGTCTGATGCTGGCTGCTAGCCAGCACTTGTTATTAGTAATTCTAATGATTATTAGATTCCCTGGTACCACATTTGTTTCAAATGGTGGCAGACCTAATCCTTGTTTTATAATTAACATGAACATATGAGGGGGGTTTTTAGACAGCCTTTTCAGTCAGCTAATATTTGCCTTAACAAATTAATAAAGCATAACCATTAATTATATCTTGCAGTAAATCTTAAAATAAAATTACACAAGTCCCTTAAGAAGTCCCCTTCTAAAACATTAAACCTGGGGTTGTTTTGGTGAGGATGAAATATGATTTCTGCTGTTTTCCCTAAAATGTGGTTCTGTTTCATGATGCTTTTTGAGGCACGAAGCTGCAGATGCATCAAGAGACATGCTGTGTCCCGTCGTGTCGTGCTGCGTGCCCCAGCACAGTTTATTTGTTCTGCTTTATTAGAGCAAACTTAGTTGCAATTACAGATGAAAAGTACAAGAGCTCTCCAGTCAGATCAATTCTAAAAGTATTTAAACATAATAACTACTCCTTAAAGAAAGTACTGTTTGCATGACTCAGCTTTCCTTTTTTTCTCCTTTCACCAGTTGAAAAAATACAGAGCCAGTGGGATGAAGTGCACGGACACCTCCACAGCCGAAGGCAGCAGCTCCATGATATGCTCAAGGACTCAACGCAGTGGCTAGATGCTAAGCAGGAAGCTGAGCAAGTTCTTGAGCAAGCGAAAGCTAAGCTTGAATCGTGGAAAGAAATCTCCTACACCGTGGAAGCTCTGAAAAAGCAGAACATGGAGCTGAAGGTCATTATTGAGAACTTGGAATTTAACATTAAGATAAATAATGAAAATGCTGATACATGATTGAATATATTTCTGCTTGAGTAGCTGTTTAATGAAAATGTTCTCAAAGTATTGGGCAGTGCATATCAAAGACAGGCACTTTATTCCCTCTCATGTCCCTCTAATAATTAGACAAGAATTACTGAAGTCTGAAACGCGTGTCACATTATCCATCAGTGAAATTGGTCCTAACTTATCAGTCCTAACAATAGCTGGCTGATCTTGCGGGGAAAGAACCCCACCTTTTGAGCACGGATATTTGTCTTGTCCCTCATACAGCAGGCTGCAGTACCAGGCACTGCTGCTGCGGACGGGTGAATGCTGCAGTACTGCTCTGGGTCTGGCAACACTGGCACCCACGCTGTATAGGCTGTCTAGGGGGTTAAGAGCAGAGAAAAAATCTAGTAGGCTGTCTTGAGGTGGTTTAAAAATTAAGCATTTTAGATTTTCCATGATATAACCTCACTAGTTTAAACCTTGGCATAGTTATTGCCTGCAAAAACAAGAAAAAAAAAACTGAAAAGGCCTGGGCTCGTGTTTTTACCATATACCAGCTGTCACATTTTAGGTGCTAAAATGGACACCTCAGTTGCCTTAGCTGAACCGTACCTTAGTGCATCAGTTTCTAAGTTTCATGGAACTGTACCTTAGTGCATCAGTTTTTCAGTTTCATGTTATGGAAATAGTCATACTTTGGTGACATTGCTCATGAATAAATTTTGAGTATAGCTGTTTCAGATTAATAATATCGTATTTTCTGGTTCAGAAAGCAAGTTTGAAACCAACCAATTGATCACATTCTTAAAGTAAGTCCTCCATCCATATTAATGCAATATTATACTTTAATCACTTGATAGAAAGTTAACACAAGTATTTTTTTTCAGTGTTCTCCTTTCCTTCCCTACCTTTTTTCCTTTTTTTTGTTTGCAATTATTACCACTTATTTTCTCAGCTAAAATTTGTGACCTTGCAAACAGTTGTATTTGCAAAGGTGAATGGTGATCAACCACTGTTAAAAATAGTGGGGTCAGGTCTTCCTCAACTGCTTTATTTCCAGAGAAAGTGCTTGTGTGACTGTATTACTGGTCTTCAGCTAGGTCTGTCATCATTAGTCATTGCCATTCTGATATTTAGCATTATACACAAAAGCTGTCCTGCTGTAGTTGTTTGCCTATAGGAAGAAACACCGTGGATATTGTATTATCTTCTTTTAGGACTGGGAAGTGGTTAAGTTTTCTTATTTAAGATTATACCTTAAGGGTCATTGCTTGGGAAGGATGGATTATGGTAAGCGAGGGCAATCACTCACTAATGTATTGGAAAGAGTTAGAGATTATGTATCCTGCTGTCATTCAGCAGAGAGGACTCACATTTGTCACTGTCTTTCTGTGAAGAGAGAGTTCTGGCTTCTGCCTTCTGCCAAGCATTTTCTTTTTCATTCTTTTTTTTTTTTTAGTAGAAGGAAAAAAAAACCCCATCAACAAAGTTATTGTCCTGGCTCTGTAAAGCCACAATTAACAGGAAAAAGAAATCAAAAAGACAGTTCTGTGCAGATAGTCTCATGTCATTGTGTCTGAGTATATCTTGAGCACAAAAGACATAGCTAAGAAAGTAATTACCATTATTGCTTCCAAAATGGATTTTATGTCCATTTTACAGGTATACATGATGTTTAGTTGAACCTTTAGAGGAGGTTCATCTAAGAATGGGGTTTTTTTTTGAAAAATAATGATCTTATTGTATTAACATTCTTCAGACAACTAATTAAAAGTACACACCTCTTCACCCAAATTACAGAGAAAGTATAGAGGTATACTTGTATACTTATTCATAGAAAGCCTCTCTTTGTATAAATGAGCAGTTTGGAAAAGATGGATTTTTTATTTTTTTCACTCCTCTGTGACAGAGGAGAGGCATTTAAGACAGAAGTATCTTGGAACTCTCTCCATTTGACCATACATGTTGTGTTCCCCTGCAGAGATTAGACCACATTTATAATTTTGACTGCGAAAGCTGGTCAAACCCACAGCCAGCCGCCACCACCACCAGCCAGCTTCGCCCTCCCCTCACGGTGACAGGATTATCCACAGGCCCTCCTGTTTCTAGGATTAACTTCTGCTACTTCCACTTGTTTGGAAGCAGCACCTTCCTTTCCATCATCTTTCTCCAGCAAGTCCAGAAGACTCCTCTGTCTCTGAGAAACTCACTTCCTTCCTTCCTTCCTTCCTTCCTTCCTTCCTTCCTTCCTTCCTTCCTTCCTTCCTTCCTTCCTTCCTTCCTTCCTTCCTNTCCTTCCTTCCTTCCTTCCTTCCTTCCTTCCTTCCTTCCTTCCTTCCTTCCTTCCTTCCTTCCTTCCTTCCTTCCTTCCTCTCTCTCTCTTTCTCTCTCTCTCTCTTTCTCTCTCTGTCTTTCTCTTTCTCTCTCTGTCTTTCTCTTTCTTCCTTTCTTTCTTCCTCTCTTCCTTTCTTCTTTTCTTCCTCTCTTTCCTCTCTTTCTCTCTCTTTCTCTTCAGCCTTCACAGAGGAAATCCATCTGCCAGTAATTCCTCTCGTGTCAAATCCCACAAGAAAGCTTCTCAGATGTGACAGCATCAGCTGTTTTATTCTTGCTTGAGCTAAATGTTCATGCATTTTAAAGCAAACTGAAATCTTAAATGAATTTAGCTGCTTTATATTTCTTTTATATAGTGGGAACTGAGGTGAAGGACCTTGAAATGCATCAGATCCTTGAGAAAGTAAACTCTTCCCAGCCTTCTGTACCACAACAGATATATTTTGATGCTGATCCTTTAGATATTTTGAGCAAGAGCAGTGTTTTTTCTTATTACACTGATGAAAATAAAACCATCAATCCTATTCATTCATGCAGAGGGAAGGAGCCAGGGACGTGTGGCACTTGAACAACTTCTTCAAACATATTAATTTTGTCAGCTTTTTAACTCAGCACAGCTTGGTGTAAGGAAGTGTGGCCACCAAGCCATCCGTTGGTGTGGCTGTTAAATATCCTACGTCTGCCTGGGGTGAGCTGAGTCGAAGCCAAAGCTCCCTTCAGCCCCAGAGAGCCCCGAGCCGGTGCTGGTGCTATCGCGAGGGCGCCCGTCCTCATCAGGGAAGAGCAGGCACCCCCTAGGACCAGCTTTTGGATCACTTTTACATTTTTATAATGCCAGCCTAAGGGAGAAATCTGTAACTGGCTTTTTTTTCAACCCAGGTATTATGTTTTTTGTAGGATTTGACACATTTGCTACTGACATTTAAAGGAAAGGTAACTGAGTACTGTGTAGCTACTAATTAAAAATATGCTTTGATTGCATCGGAAGTTAATTCAGAGCTAATTTACTGAGGGTTAATGCATTTTTTCCCCATTCTTCTTTTTAGTTTGGCATTTGAAAGGAGGATTGGGGAGGTGGCTCCGAGCGCGGCACCCTGCTCCGCAGGAGCCGTTACGGGCTCGGGTCCGGCGTGTTGCTGCTGCCCAGGCGCCGAGTGCAGCCCGTTCCCTTGGCCGGTTGTGCTTGTGTGAACGGTACCGGCCGTCACACCTTGACTCCCCCTGCCAGACTCCAGGCAGCTGAACATAAGCTGGGCTCAAGCTGGGCTCTCCCCGCTATGGTCCCGAGCCCAAGTTAAAGCATTAGCCCTGCCCGGCACGCCAGGCCTCTCCTCGGCCCCTCGCTGTTTTGGGAAGGGCTGCTGGGACATCCCTCCTCCGCCGGCGCCGGGCCAGCCGAGACGCCCAGGGTGGCCACGAGGAGGCCTGGAGACCTGGCGGCCCCCTTCCTCGGCTGCCCCTCCGCCCATTCCCGAAGCAGGAAGCGGAGCAGCCGCCTGGCCCTTCCCGCCACGCAGGGCCAGGGCCATGCGGCTTTGAGCGAGGCCCAGGCCGCGCTGCCTTCGCCTTCCTCCTGCCTCCGTTAACGCGAGGCAGCTTAACACGTGCTTGAAGTGCGGCTGCTGCCGCCGCCGGTGTCCCTGGAGAGGCTGGATCCCGAAGCCCCGCGGCATCGGGATTTGCCTTCTCCCAGGGCGGACAACAGGCTGCTTTCCCCGCAGCGGGACAGCCGGCAGTTCAAGGGGTGCTACCCGCTCTGCTGCAGACACCGAAATAGAAGTATCTGATGAAAAATTAAAGCTCCTCGGGCATATAAATAAAACATGTGCTACAGATATCCAGAGGAAGGACAGAAAGAGAGCCAGATTTTCCAGATTTGTGCTATGTACCTGTTTGGTGCAGGAGTTTGCGTACTCTGAATTGGATGATGCTGCATGTGCTTATGGCTCTATTTGAGCTTCTATGAATAGTTTATTTTATTCTGTCGGGAAATTGTGCGATAGGAAAAAAAGCCTATTCTAATTTCCTTACTTGCTTTTAATTAAGTATCCTTAATTGCACGAACTTGCTTCCTAATAACAGCAACTGGTGTCTTCTAATTAAAAATTAAAAATAAATTTCTACCTAAGTAACATGATGAATTCAGGGTCCTAATTCCTTAAGCCTTTTAATAAAGTCAGCAAGTTCCAGTGAAGACATAGACAAAAAAAGAGAATGCTTAAAAAAAATGGGTAAAAGAAAATATTTTCATTTTTTTTTAAAATCATACATATACCCAATCATACATATACCCAAGTGGTTAAAAGAATAACGGGACCTAAAAATTGAAAAGGGAGGGAAAAAAAAATTCACTGTTAATTTTATTATGAAAACTTATTTTTTAAGTCATGAGATACAATTGAATGAGCCTCTGGTGGAAGGGACATAAAACATGTGCCGCAACACTTTGCCCTTTGCACAGACTCTGAGAACAGAGTTCAAGCAAGGCAAGAAATCTTCAAAGCTATTGAAAAATTACATACCAATTCCCAATTAAGTAGAAAATACAAATTGTTTCTGTCGACATAGGTCTCCATATTCTTCATTTCTTCCTTGAGTGATGAGCTAGTGTTGTAATGTCAGGAATTTAATGGATTAATATTGAAGTTAATGGTAAGAATCAACATTTTTGGAAATAGCCTTGTAATGGCTCTTTCTATATTTTCATTACAGTCTGGTTTGGAAGGTTTCATAAGGTCATTTATATTCCCATGGGTTTGAGGAAAGGGAAGTTATTTTGAGAGTGAAGTTTACAGACCATTAGTTTACAAAGTGGGCAAAATGTTATGGTAACTTTTCTGTGCAATGCAGTGAGTAGCCTGCTGTAATTCTTTGCTGGAAAGAGAAGCTGTATGTGTGCATGAATTGGAACAGCTTGGTATTTTAAACAGCAGGAGAGGAGAGGAGAGCAAAAGTATAATCAAAATGGAAACTCCTATATATAAAATAGATACTTACTATAAAAGAACTACAAAAATGGAAATGGTAATTACAGCATATTCTGTTACATTTATACAAATGTAAGCATTTATATGTTTAATTTTATAATCCTGCTGGGGAAGGGCCTTATTTACAGAAATATTTCCAAAACAGCCACTGGTCTGTATCTTCTCCCCAACAAATGCGACAGGCTTTGCTGTAAAATTATGAACTACTCTGACTCTATCTCCATACTTGCCATGAGGGAATGACTTATTAAAATTAAATTAAAAATTATGTCTAGGCAGCTTCAGTTTAACTGAGCGTAATCATGGATGGGTCAGCTGGATCATGGAGTCAGGGATCTGAAGGATCCCTTGTTCCATCCAGGAGAGCAGGTTGCTGCTGTATAGCACGTGAGCGTTCCTGCTGCACAGGCATCGGGCGATAACTCTCTGTCATGGAGGAGTCCTACGAAATAAAGCAGGAAAGAAAGAAAATAAATACATGCTTTCAGTTTTAAATTTTAGAGGAGTCCCTGGAGGACCTATAGATGCTATAACAGCTTTGTAATCGATGAGACTGTGGAGCCAAAAACTCCAGCAGGGACTCTTCAAAGCAGAAGTCTCAGACCCGGTTTTTTAGAAGCAGTGTGAACACTTTCTGAGGTGAAAATGTAAGTGTACTAATCATTCAAAATGTATTTATTTTGACAGTTTTTAAACTCTTTAATCAGTATGTGAATCTTCAAATAGCTTGATTTCTTTTTTAATCTAGATCAAAACAAGATGTCAATAGGAATACCACTTTGAGAAAAGGAGAGGCAAACCCAAATTTCCATTTTACAGGAAATGATATATCTTTTCTATCATTGGTCAAGTCTTAGTGTTTACTCTTTGTAGATAGCTTCAGATATTTACATTCAACTTACTGCTTCTGTTTGCAAATAGGATCTTTTTTAATTTTCATTGTCTCTCTTGGTTAATAACCTGTAGTCTTGCCTAGTGCAGAAGCAAAGTAGAACATCTTTGAACGTCCCTGCTCTTCCATTTTTGTTGTTACACATTGTAGAATAAATATGCAGCTTCTGTGCATGTATATGGAAGGGTTTTTTGAGAAAAAATCCATGGGATTTGGTTTCTGGCTGTCATGAGTCTTGGAAGTTTGGGGAAAGAGGGGAAAAGGGGAAAAGAGGATAGGATGCTTAAGGTTTAAAAAGCTTTCTGAAAACTTAAAAGTAAAGTTTATTTTGCTTTTAGTATTATCAAAATATAATAGTTTTTATCAGTTATTATTACTGATAAAATCAGTATCATATTCTGATTGTGATCAGCATTATAAAAATCATCACCAGCAGTGACGTGTTTTATTATATTGCAGCTTTAGTGCTGCTCCAGTAGATGGCACTAATTACATAAACAATTCACTAAATTAATAAAGTCAGGGAAAAACAGATGAAAGCACAAGCATTATTTGTCCAAACCTTACTGTCATTTCGCATTATAAAAAAGAAAACTAGCTATAGTGGTCTATTATTTGAAACCATTTTCTGCCTCCCAGTATAATTCGCCATCACAAATAAAAGTTATACTAATGTGTCCACCCATTTCTGTCGTGGAAAGGAGTGATCAAGATTATAATCACTGTCCATTTCAGCACCCGTGTTTTATCTGACATTTATTATTTTGTTCTCAGTTGCCTCAGATACTTAGCACTAAATCTACAGTCTCATAACTGAAAAATAAACATTTAAAAAGACTCCGGCCTAAGTTCCAACAGATCTGAGGAAGCCCTTACTCTGTGTTTGGTATTGATGGTAAAAGTTGTCCATGTACTTTTCTGCTGCATAAAAAAAATGTGTATAATCAATTTATGATGATCTGGGATTTATTTCTTTTCTTATTATTTTAATTTCAGCAATTTTCCAAAGAGCTACGGCAAGGGCAGATAAATGTGGATGTGGTGAACGACATGGCGCTGAAGCTGCTCCGCGATTACTCGGCAGATGACACGAGAAAAGTGCAACTGATGACAGACAGCATTAATGCAACGTGGGCTACCATTAATAAGAGGTAGGATGTAAATTCCACTAATAAACTTTAAACTTCATTTACATTCATCGGCCCGCTGTGGTAGGGGATCTTCGAAGATGTGATTTATGAAAACGAGATGGTTACGGTGCAAAAGGTAAAGAATGATGATGTCTCTTCTGTCATATTTTGTGGAAATGTGTCTTTGGATGCCATCTACTTCTCTAAAACAAAAAATGTCAATTTGCGACAACTGATGAAGCAGACTGGAAACAGAAATTTTATGCCATAGCTTTGAGGAAAATCTTTTGTCAAGAACATTTTTGTTAGAACCTTGATCACATTCTTAGTTACATTTCATGGTCTTCAACTCTGTGTTATGGATACCAATTCATTACTAAAAGCCACCAAACTGAATCATTCAGCATGCAGTCTGTAAAATCAGAACATTTTGCAGTATGAAAATGTCTTTCTTTAAAGCAATAAAATAGTTTTATATTGCTCTACATGAAATGAGATACATAAAGAAATAACTGAAAGTTATTTTAATCAGTTAAGTGTCCCAGATTAAGTTTTATAGCCTATAACTAAAATGAGAATTGAATTAGTTTTTTTTAAATGTTTTAAAGTCTATGAACAAAGTCAGAAAATAAGTTTATTTATGTGTGTCACAAATTCAGAAGACCGTCTTACATCATAGAAGTTACTTAAATCGCTGGTGACTACAGAAATTTATTCCCACTCTTTTAAATTGTATATATAAATGAATTTGACATTCATATGCCTATAGAATGAGTCACTTCAACAACATATTTTTTTTCTGAAGCAGACTTGCCACTGCAGTGAGAGGAGATGCCACTGATGTCCTCTAGAAGAAAGCTGCTTTATAGTTTAAGAGCTTTTTTTTAACAAGAAAAATAACTAAACTGTGAAATTGTTATAAATAAGCAGTGACTATCTGCTTGCATTTCTGCTCTTACTGCAGTAGCCCTTGCAGTCTTGTTGGTAGTGGCCACATTTGATGAGAAATGAAAGGTTCTGCGGGCAGAGCTCTGCGAAGCAGGCTGCTGGGGACAGCCCGTCCTGCATGGGAATTGCTGCCATGCCTGAGGCTTAAAGCTTCTCCCAGAGAATCTGGAGTCGGTGGGTTAAAGGGATTAGCTGGAAGAACGGAAGGAAACAGCTTCTCTGCATGTGCAGCCCTTTGCTGGTGAGGCAGCTTTCTCATCCTGAAGTCTAGCTAAGAACGTGCAGGAATCCCAAGCTGCCGAGAGCAGCCAGGCAGCAAGCGCAGCCGAGACAGCGTCGTTAATTCTGCGTTTGTCACCGTGTGGAGCGCGCGCCCGGCTGCGGGTCGGGCTGCCTCACGGTGGGCATTGGCACCGCCGGCCGGGAGCGGCCGCGAAGCCCTCGGCGGAGGCTGCAGCCGCCTCCGGACACATCCCTGCCGGCCTCCCCGGAACCGCGCGCTGCACGGGCTGCCCTGGGAAACATGCGGGTTCTCAGAGGAGAGCTTTCCAGGTGGCTGCGCTGACATTGTGCATCAATAAGCCGTATAAGAGAATAGGATTAAGTTCATACAGAAAACTGTAAATCTACCATTTCCCGGTTGTAGACTGCATGCCTTTGCAAGCTTTGTACTACTTTGTTTCTAAGTTTGGGAAGAATTCCCGTGGGTTTGGGATCTTGAAAAAGAAGCCTGTTGCTAGTGCTGTTTGCTAAGCTTTTCGGAGGGCTACGTCACAGCTTTGTCTTTTGTCAGTAGCTGTGAAATGTTAAATATGGTTAAATATGTCAATATGGTAAATATGGTATCATGTTAGTTAAATATGGTATCATGTTAGCAGAAATGCCTGTAGCTGGAAGCACCTTCCACCGCCAGGTCTCTGTGGTTTGTTCCAACAGGGAACAAACCATCAAACCATCATCACCTGCGAGCTGCTGAGTGACCTCCTGAGAGAACTGGCTCGAGATTTCTTCTGTTTACTATATTTTTGGAAAGTGAATGGAGGCAGCGGGTCTTTGAATTGACTTAAATGCCAATTTCACAATTATGTTGTGCAGTTTGTCTTTTGTTTTTTTATTTTCCATCCTTTTACACTTGAGCTTTCAGGCTGTTGCACAGAGCAAAACAGATTGTTTGTTTGTATGTTCAGGGCTTGTCTTAAGTGTAAGGCAGAATTTTTTCTGGATTTACTGTGGGCTCTAAGAAAGGCCAGTTCTCCACCGAGATACATGTGTCTTGATTGCAAATATATCCATGAGTGTTACTCTCATCTAGACCGTGAGCAATTAAGGCACTGGTGATCCGGTGACCTCTGACTGATATAGAAATACATTTCAAACATGAGGCTTGGCTTTTTTTGCAGTTGTATTTTAGACATAGAGAAACTTAGATTGCTTTGAATTATTTTCAATAATCTGTGAACCAGATTAGTAGAACAACAGACAGGCAAGCAGCAGTAAAATTACACTTGGTAATAGTCCAGCCAAAGCAAGTACTTTACTCATTAAGGCAACATCTGCCAGCTTGTGTTGTGCTTTGCTTAAATGGATTTGCAGCTGATTTGTGTGTGTGTTCACCCCTTTCCTTCCTATTTTGTTTTATAACACCCGACTATAATGAAAATGACATTCCAGCTCCTTTAATAGCTGCATTCCTGAGTGTTTTGACATTCCAGCTCCTTTAATAGCTGCATTCCTGAGTGTTTGATGGGTGCTCCCATCTTTTTTTTTTTTTTTCTCACCATTTCTTATTTTTATTGTTGATGCTGAAAAGATGCATGAACTGATTAGCTGGGCAAGAGCCAGGATGACTTGTAAACATATCTCCTCCTGTTCCCTTTGGAAGCATTAACTGTCCCTGAAATAACTGTATTATTTGTTAAGCTGATGCAATTAAGGAGAAAGTGATCTGTATCGATTGTGTTAACCAAAATAAATCGAACAAATGTACTGTTGTATGCTCAAGAGAAAAAGATAGAGTGGAGTCAGCGACCATTAGAAGTTTACTGTATATAAGAGTGTTCTACATATACCTATGTGGTTCTACATATACCTATTTTGGGGGCATGTTGAAAAAATAGAGAAATCTGACAAGGATTATAGTACTCCCTGCTCTGGTGGGCATTCACATTCTATGTTCATTAGCAAACAAAAAATAAAAATGGAAGTTGAGCTTGTTTTCCTGGGATTCCGCCCAGCAAGTGTTTATATTTCACTAAAATTTTGAGCTAGAGCTTTCTTAAACCCAGCGAATATTATGATGTGTCGTCTGAGAATTATCCAGGCCTCAAAGCCGAGGCAGTGCAAGTGGCACCTCCAAATAGCTGCACCGCTCACCAGTTTCTGTGCTGAAGGTTGGGGAGACTCGGGCTGCGTGTCAAGTGTTACAGCCTGCCTCCCCGGGGTGCGTTTCCTTCGCTTCTGAGAGGGGATGTGACACTCACGCATCGGGCACCATGTGGAAGGGCACTTTGGTTTCCTGTTGCAGAGCATGGGCAGTGAACAATCTATCAATACCGAGGTTTTTGTTGTCCTTAATTCAAGCGTCAGGGATTTGGAGAAGGGTGGCAAGGAGCTCAGTTTCCAGGCAACTTGTATCCAGGGTTTGAGTTCCCGACTTCCATATTTACCTAATGATCATGCTGTATGAATGATGATCATGCTCTAATGCAGCCACTTGTGCAAACACCTTAGTTTTGTATTTCAGTTGGAGAATTTCAAATGCAAAAAGTCCATAGTCTTTCAGCAAACTCTCCCTTTACTAGCAAGTGGCTTGCTGTACGATCACAGTTTTACAATGTAAATTTTATCTGTATGTAATGTTTGTAATTCTCATTTTCTTGCCTACACAAAAAGAGCTTGATCTCTCCACTAGAGACAACTTTCTTAATATGGCATTCTTACACTTTAGGATTACTTTGAGAATCACTTTGTTTTATGGCTTTTGGAAGAAATCATATTTATGCTGTAGTCCTATTGCACCCTCTTGGTGAGAAGAAAATACCCCCAACAGGACAGCAGCAGCCTTAGGAATCTGTGTTACGTTGTACTGAGGATCCCCACTGCCTTTCAGGAGCCAGACGTTTTGGGGAGACACCTCTGCAGAGCTGCTTGTTTGACTCACGTAGGCTGGGACTGCACGTCTCGAGAAGGAAGGGATCACACAGTAAATTAGAACTAATTTAGTTTTAAATTAGTTTATACAACTAATTCCATGTTGGTTTTAAAGAACTAATGCACCCATCATCTAAGTTCCCTAAGCAAATTCAGCCCTTTTCCTTTCCATTTTTTTACTGTTTCGAAGATTTTGCTGCATTCCTAAAATTGCTGTAATTACGTGAGTATAAGCAGCTATTGTACTTCTTCTTGCAGATACAGTATTCTGTGTTTGAGAATTGCTCTATTTGAACACAAACAACCACATGAAAAATATAAGTGGCCATAGGAAACTTGTTTACACGTCTGTGCCTGCTCTTACCATGGGTACAGAGCTGTGTTAGTGTGTGCAAGAGCAAGAAATTATGGCAAATGTCAGACTATAGATGAAGGTGGCATTGGTCGCGTGACCATTTTCCTTTTTTTTTTTAATAAATTCACTACAGTCATTATCTTCATAATTATCTTCAAAAGAGTGATTTATCAGGCTTTTTTTTGGAAACAATTTTGCTGGTCTCAAGATAGTAGGTAGAGTAGTTGGTTTTTACAACCATAATGTCATACCAAAGTTTTTTATTTGTATCAGCTTAACAATAGATACTAATTAATAAATAACAAGGTTTCTTGAAAACATAGCAATTACAGAGCAGTTATTTTGCTTTGCAAGACATATTGCTCATACGTGCTTATTTGATTCTACTCTCAGTGACTTTGTTTTTAATAAACTGTATCTCCAGTCTGGATGTTCTTGACAAACTGTCTCAGAGATCTTTGCTTCTTGTAATTCTGTGATGACTTACATACTTCCAGTCAGTAGAAATATTCATGCTGAATGAAAGTGAGTCTTTGCTGTTGCATTTATCACACCCAAGAGCATGAGA